GACACTTTTAGTTCTGTGAAAAAGCCAAAAACAGAAGCAAGGGGGGCTGCCAATTTATGCAAAAATGGGGGCCAAATAAGGGATATAACTACAAGTGGCACATGGAGGCATCAAATGGTGAGGGGTCCTTCAACAATGTTGAAGAAGGGCCCAAAATAAGCACATTCACAGATTACATCATGCTCAAAAACAGATTACTCATGGGCCAAAAATAGCATGCAAGATTGTGACATATAAGAGGATCAATGAAGCAAGTGCATCATGGAGGACTCAAACATGGTTGAGTCCTTAATTAAAAGTGAAAATGAGCTCAAAAGAGGGCCCTCTTCAGTTAGGGCCAGAGCTTGAAACAAAAAGCAAGTGAGGCTTACAGATAGATCAAGATCTATAACTCAATACGAAGAACTATCACTTACCCTTGAAGACTCAAACTTTTGTTGCTTCTTGGATGAATTTACAGCTTCTTTGACCTTTGAAAAATCCTCCTTGTTGCTGGAAATGAAGTGGTGATGGTGGTGCTTGGTGGTGATGAAGAAAACAAGGTGTAGGACTTAGGGATTTTTAGGAAAATGAGAGAGATGGAGGGAGCTTTGTGTCTTGAGGCTTGAAGAGAAAATTTTCTAACCCCAAAATATGATATGGCCTGCTGGTTATAAGGGCCAAAAAGGGGGTGTAAAGGTGGGGGAAAAGGAGAGTAACTTTCCCCCACAAAATATCCCCCGGATATTGATATTTTCTGGGGGATAAAGCTATACAGCTGTAAAGTGAATAGTGTGAGGATCTCGGCCGGCCAGTTATTTTGGTTGCAGGTGGCCGGCCGGCCACACCCCCTAGCCGGCCGGCTAGGGGTCAAAAGGGTCAAGCTGATTTAGTGGACGGCCACCACATGATGGTGTCCTCCCATGTGTGTACATCACAAATATGTGGTTCAAAGTTCAAAAGTGTGACCCCAAGGTGTTCAACATTAGCCCGGAAGGAGGGGTTCAAAAGGGTCAAATGGAATTACTGGCCGTCCACCAACTTTTAGGATCCTCCCAAGTGTGTACATCACAAATATGTGGTTCAAAGTTCAAGAAAGTGGCCCCAAGGTGTTCAACATTAGCCCGGAAGTGTGAAAAACGGGCGCTGGAGGGCGTCGGAGGATGTATAACTGGTTGCTGCAACAATTACTGGCCTCCCACCCTTCAGTGACCTCCCTGGTGATAAAACAGAGGTACCTGCCAAAAATGAACGAGAACCGATGCAAAACGAATGTTCGGGGGCCAAAACACGCAGTTCGGGGCCCCGGAAACTGCCCGTTAAAAACCGAAAATGGTATTCGACCACGAAGTGGGTTTCTCAGACCCTAGTGTCCCTCAAAAGGGAGAAAATGTGAAGTATGCCAAAAATCAGAACAAACGGAGATGGTTAGGCGGTCCCGAACCGAGGCACACGGCCAACGATTCCGAAAAACCGAAAACCGGACTCCGAAATGAGCAAAATGGCCTACGGCCACCAAATGTGCCCACGGACATTGAGAGATGGTCTACGGGACCTCTCCCTTCCCTCAGGAAAGGAAACAAAGAAAACCGAGCCTGGTTCGCAAACCGAGGCAAAGTACAAAAGAGGGTTCGGAAGTCCGGAGGCAGGGCTCACGGCCGCAACTCTGAAACTTCTGAACGAGCACATTATGCAACATCACCAAGCGCTCAATCAGTGACGTCTGAGTCTTAAGGTCGGTCAAAAATGGGGTGTCTACAGTTACCCTTGAAGCGCAGCAAGACAGCAACTTCTGGACCCAAAACCCAACTCCTTAACCTCTAAAAATGGCCTCCAAGAAGCTCCAAGCAATGGTGGAAGGGTTAGGCTATGAGGTGGTGTGCAAAGGTGCAAGAATCGTGCACACTTGGAGCCAAAATAGAGAGATATAGAGGGAGATATATATTTTGCCTTCCTAGAAGTTCTGAACCTGTGCCAAGGAAGAGGAGGGCCTCTCTTATAGAGATACAAGGCTAAAGCTTCTTCAAGAAGCTAAAAACCAAGGCTCAAGATCCTCCATACACGTGTATGGAGGATACAAATTGTGCCTTCCAGCTGGCACACACTCACACAGACAAAACAAGAGGGAGTAGGCCGAACAGCTCAGGTGGTCGGCTGACCACTTCCCCTGGTGGGCCGACCAGTTCAAAAGGTTCAACTCAAAGAAAGGTGGTCGGCAGCCCCATTTGATGGTCTCCACATTGAATGCAAGCTAGTGGTATAGTGGGAGACCAGTAAATGTGGCTCAAAAACAAAGGAGACCAGCTTCCTGACAAGAAAACCAGCTGGCGGGGAAAAGTGGTCTCCAAGGAGAAAAGGTGGTCTCCCACCCTTGTACCACCTTCCAAACAATGAAAACAAGGTCCATGCAAAAAATGAACCAAGATGGATGCAAAACGAGGGTTCGGGGGTCGAAACGCGCAGCCGGGTGCCCCGAAAACAGGCTGTTAAGCATCGAAAGTGGTGTGCGACCACAGAGGTGGTCTCCCGGGTCACAGTGTCCCTCTAGAGAGAGGAAGCAAGGTGTGTGCCAAAAACCGTGCAAAACAGAGAAAGCTAAGCGGTCCCGAACCGAGGCGCACGGTCGACGGCTCTGAAAACCAGAAACTGGTCTCCAAACGGGAAAAGTGGCCTACAACCACGAAAAGTAGCCTACGGCCACCGAGAGATGGTCTACGAGACCTCTCCCTCCCTTCGGGAAGAGAAAACAAGACCTGGTTCGCAAACCGAGGCAAAGCAAAAAAGGGTCCTGAGGTCCGGGGGTAAGGCTCTCAGCCGAAACTCCGAAACCTCAGACCGAGCACAACATGCACCATCACCGAGAGCTTAATCGATGATGTCTGAGTCTTAAGGTCGGTCAAAAATGGGGTGTCTACACCAGATTATCCTATTCCATTCAATTTCATTTTTTGTCCGTTGACTGCATGAAACAATAAAGTCGCGATTAATCTTCGGGTGCGATCATACCAGCACTAATGCACCGGATACCATCAGAACACCGCAGTTAAGTGTGCTTGGACTAGAGTAGTACTAGGATGGGTGACCCCCTGGGAAGTCCTCGTGTTGCACCCCTTTTGCCCCCCCTTTTTTTTTTTCCACCCTTCCCCGGACAGCTTGTCCGATTTTTAACCCATTCAATCGCCTTCACCTCTTTTTCAACAAATTTCTCGCTTTTAAACCATTTCTAGATTATCCACTTCCATTCAATTTCATTTTCTGTCCAGCTACTACTTAAAACAATAAAGTTGTGGTTTATCTTCGGGTTCGATCATACCAGCACTAATGCACCAGATCCCATCAGAACTCCGCAGTTTAGCATGCTTGGGCAAGAGTAGTACCGAGATGGGTAACCCACTGGGAAGTCCTCCTGTTGCAACACTGTTGCCCCTTTTTTTTTTTCACCCTTCCCAAGACAACCTGTCCAATTTTTAGCCCATTCAATCGCCTTCGCCTCCGTTTTGACAAATTTCTTGGTTTTAAACCATTTCCAGATTATCCTATTACATTCAATTTCATTTTTTGTCCGTCTATTGTTTAAAACAATAAAGTCGCGGCTAATATTCGGGTGCGATCATACCAACACTAATGCATCGGATCCAATCAAAACATCGCAGCTAGGTGTGCTTGGGCGAGTGTAGTACTAGGATAGTTGCCCCCCCGGGAAGTCCTCATGTTGCATCCCTTTTACCGTTTTTTTTTTTCACCCTTCCCCAGACAAGCTGTTCGATTTATAGCCCATTAAATCGTCTTTGCCTCCTTTTCGACATATTTCTCGCTTTTAAACGATTTACTGATTATACTATTCCATTCAATTTCATTTTTTGTCCGTCTACTGCTTAAAACAATAAAGTCACGGTTAATCTTCGGGTGCGATCATACCAGCACTAATGCACCGGATCCCAGCAGAACTCCGCAACTAAGCGTGCTTCGGCGAGAGTAGTACTAGTGTGGGTGACCCCCTTGGAAGTCCTCGTGTTGCACACCTTTGGCCCCTTTTTTTTATTTTTTATTTTTTACACTTCTCCGGACAACCTGTCCGATTTTTAACCCATTCAATCGTCTTCGCCTCATTTTCGACAAATTTCTCGCTTTTAAACAATTTCCAGATTATCCTATTCCATTCAATTTCATTTTCTGTCTGTCTACTACTTAAAACAATAAAGTCGTGGTTAAGCTTCGGGTGCGTTCATACCAGCACTAATGAACCGGATCCCCTCAGAACTCCGCAATTAGGCGTACTTGGGCAAGAGTAGTACTAGCATGGGTGACCCGTTGGCAAGTCCTCGTGTTGCACACCTTTTGCCCGTTTTTTTTTTTCACCATTCCCCAGACAACCTGTCCGATTTTTAGCCCCTTCAATCGCCTTCGCCTCCTTTTTGACCAATTTCTCACTTTGAAACCATTTTCAGATTATACCATTCCATTCATTTTCATTTTTAGTCTGTCTATTGCTTATAACAATAAAGTCGTGGTTAATCTTCGGGTGCGATCGTACCCGCACTAATCCACTAGATGCCATGAGAACCCCGCAGTTAAGCGTGCTAGGGCGAGAGTAGTACTAGGATGGGTGACCACCTGGGAAGTCCTCGTGTTGCAATCCTTTTGCCCCATTTTTTTTTTATTTTTTATTTTTCACCCTTCCCCGGACAACCTATCTGATTTTTAGCACATTCAATCGCCATCGCCTCCTTTTCTTCAAATTTCTTGGTTTTCAACTATTTCTAGATTATCCTCTTCCATTCAATTTCATTTTTTGTCCGGATACTGCTTAGAACAATAAAGTCGCGATTAATCTTCGGCTGCGATCATACCAGCACTAATGCACCGAAACCCGTCAGAACTCCACAGTTAAGCGTGCTTGGGCAAGAGTAGTACTAGGATGGGTGACCCCCGGCGAAGTCCTCATGTTGCACCCCTTCTGGTCTTTTTTTTTTTTCACCCTTCCCTGGACAACCTGTCTGATTTTTAGCCCATTCAATCGCCTTCCCCTCCTTTTCGACAAATTTCTTGCTTTTAAACCATTTCCAGATTATCCTCTTCCATTCAATTTCATTTTTTGTCCGTCTACTACTTGAAACAATAAAGTCGCTGTTAATCTTCGAGTGCGATCATGCCAGCACTAATGCATCGGATCCCATTAGAACACCGCAGTTTAGCATGCTTGGGCGAGAGTAGTACTAGGATGGGTGAACCCCTGGGAAATCATCGTGTTACAACCCTTTTGCCCCCCCCCTTTTTTTTTTTCACCTTTCCCTGGATAAACTATCTGATTTTTAGCCTATTCAATCGCCTTCGACTTCTTTTCGACAAATTTGTCATTTTTATACCATTTCTAGATTATCCTCTCCCATTCAGGTTCATTTTTATACCATTTCTAGATTATCCTCTCCCATTCAGGTTCTCTCAGTGGCCGTAGGCCATTTTGCCCATTTCGGAGCCCGGTTCCCGGTTTTCGGAGCCGTCAGGCCGTGTGCCTCGGTTCGGGACCGCCTAACCCAGCACTAATGCACGAGATCCCATCAGAACTACGCATTTAAGCGTGCTTTGGCGAGAGTAGTACTAGGATAGGTGACCCCCTAGGAAGTCCACGTGTTGCCCCCCTTAGCAACCCTTTTTTTTTTTTTTACCCTTCCCCGGACAACCTGTCCGATTTTTGGCCCATTCAATTGCCTTCGTCTCCTTTTCGACAAATTTTTCTCTTTTAAACCATTTCCAAATTATCCTATTCCATTCAGTATCATTTTTTATCTATCTACTGCTTAAAAAAATAAAGTCGTGGTTAATCTTCGGGTGCGATCATACCAACACTACTGTCGCGGATTCCATCAGAATTTCGCAGTTAGCGTGCTTCGACGGGAGTAGTACGAGGATGGGTGAACCCCTGGGAAGTCCTCGGGTTGCACCCGTTTTGCCCATTTTTTTTATCACCCTTCCCCAGACAACCTGTCCGATTTTTAGACCATTCAATGACCGCAGCCTCTTTTTCAACAAATTTCTCGCTTTTAGACCATTTCTAGATTATCCACTTCCATTCAATTTCATTTTTTGTCCGGCTACTGCTTAAAACAATAAAGTTGCAGTCTATGTTCGGGTGCGATCATACAAGAACTAATGCACCGGATCCAATCAGAACTCCGCAGTTTAGCGTGCTTGGGCGAGAGGAGTATTAGGATGGGTGACCCCCAGGTAAGTCCTCGTGTTGCACCTCTTTTGCCCTTTTTCTTCTTCTCTGTGTTTTTTTTTTTCACAGACAGCCTGTCCGATTTTTAGCCCATTCAATCGCCTTCACCTCATTTTCGACAAATTTCTCTCTTTTAAACCATTTTCAGATTATCATATTCCATTCAATTTCATTTTTTGTCCATTTACTGCATATGACAATAAGGTCGTGGTTAATCTTCAGGTGAGATCGTACCAGGACTAATGCCCCAGATCCCATCAGAACTCCACAGTTAGGCGTGCTTGGGCAAGAGTAGTACTAGGATGGGTGACCCCTTAGGAAGTCCTCGTGTTGCACCACTTTTGTCCCCTTTTTTTTTTTCACCTTTCCCCAGACAACCTGGCTGATTTTTAGCCCATTCAATCGCCTTCGCCTCATTTTCAACAAATTTCTCGCTTTTAAATCATTTCCAGATTATCCTCTTCCATTGAATTTCATTTTTTGTCCGTTGACTGCTTAAAACAATAAAGTCGCGGTTAATCTTCGGGTGTGATCATACCAGCACAAATGCATCGAATCCCATCAGAACACCTCAGTAAAGCGTGTTTGAACGAGAGTAGTACTAGGATGGGTGACCCCCTGAGAAGTCCTCGTGTTGCTACCCGTCTGCCCCCTTTTTTTTTTTCATCCTTTCCCGTTCAACCTGTCTGATTTTTAGCCCATTCAATCGCCTTTGCCACCTTTTTGACAAATTTCTTCGTTTTAAACCATTTCCAGATTATCCTATTACATTCAATTTCATTTTTTGTCCGTCTACTGCTTAAAACAATAAAGTCGCGGTTAATCTTCGGATGCGATCACACCAGCACTAATGCACCGAATCCCATCAGAACACCGCAGTTAGGCGTGCTTGGGCGAGAGTAGTGCTAGGATGGTTGACCCCCCGGGACATCCTCATGTTGCATCCCTTTTACCGCTTTTTTTTTTTTCACCCTTCCCCGGACAGGCTGTCCGATTTTTAGCCCATTAAATCCCCTTCGCCTCCTTTTCGACAAATTTCTCGCTTTTAAACGATTTGCAGATTATACTTATCCATTCAATTTCATTTTTTGTCCGTCTACTGTGTAAAACAATAAAGTCGCGGTTAATGTTCGGGTGCGATCATACCAGCACTAATGCACCGGATCCCATCAGAACTTCGCAGTTAAGCGTATTTCGGCGAGAGTAGTACTAGTGTGGGTGACCTCCTGGGAAGTCCTCGTGTTGCACCCCTTTTGTCCCCTTTTTTTTAGTTTTTATTTTTTACCCTTCCTCGGACAACCATCCGATTTTTTACCCATTCAATCGTCTTCGCCTCCTTTTCGACAAATTTTTCGCTTTTAAACAATTTCCAGATTATCCTATTCCATTCAATTTCATTTTTTGTCTGTCTACTCCGTAAAACAATAAAGTCGTGGTTAAGCTTCGGGTGAGTTCATACCAGCACTAATGCACCGGATCCCCTCAGAACTCCGCAGTTAGGCATACTTGGACAAGAGTAGTACTGGGACGGGTGACCCCGTGGCAAGTACTCGTGTTGCACACCTTTTGCCTGTTTTTTTTTTTTCACCATTTCGCAGACAACCTGTCCGATTTTTAGCCCCTTCAATCGCCTTCGCCTCCTTTTCGACAAGATTTCTGGCTTTGAAACCAATTTCAGATTATACTATTCCATTCAATTTCATTTTTAGTCCGTCTACAACTTATAACAATAAAGTTGTGGTTAAGCTACGGGTGCGATCGTACCCGCACTAATGCACCGGATCCCATGGGAACTTCGCAGTTAAGCGTGCTAGGGCGAGAGTAGCACTAGGATGGCTGACCACCTGGGAAGTCCTCGTGTTGCAACCCTTTTGCCTTATTTTTTTTTTATTTTTTATTTTTCACCCTTGCCCGGACAACCTGTCCTATTTTTAGCACATTCAATCGCCTTCGCCTCCTTTTCTTCAAATTTCTTGGTTTTCAACTTTTTCCAGATTATCCTCTTCCATTCAATTTCATTTTTTGTCCGGATACTGCTTAGAACAATAAAGTTGCGATTAATCTTCGGGTGCGATCATACCAGCACAAATGCACCGGAACCCGTCAGAACTCCGCAGTTAAGCGTGCTTGGGTGAGAGTAGTACTATGATGGGTGACCCCCGGCGAAGTCCTCATGTTGCACCCCTTCTGGTCTTTTTTTTTTCACCCTTCCCTGGACAACCTGTACGATTTTTAGCCCATTCAATTGCCTTCCCCTCCTTTTCGACAAATTTCTTGCTTTTAAACCATTTCCAGATTATCCTCTTCCATTCAATTTCATTTTTTGTCCGCCTACTACTTGAAACAATAAAGTCGCTGTTAATCTTCGAGTGCGATCATACCAGCACTAATGCATCGGATCCCATTAGAACACCGCAGTTTAGCATGCTTGGGCAAGAGTAGTACTAGGATGGGTGAACCCCTGGGAAGTCCTCGTGTTGCAACCCTTTTTCCCCCTTTTTTTTTTTCACCTTTCCTGGATGAACTATCTGGTTTTTAGCTTATTCAATCGCCTTCGACTTTTTTTCAACAAATTTGTCATTTTTATACCATTTCCAGATTATCCTCTCCCATTTAGGTTCATATTTTGTCTGGCTACTTCTTAAAACAATAAGGTCGCGGTTAAGCTTCGGGTGCGATCATACCAGCACTAATGCACGAGATCCCATCAGAACTACGCATTTAAGCGTGCTTTGGCGAGAGTAGTACTAGGATGGGTGACTTTTTGGGAAGTCCCCGTGTTCCCCCCCTTTTGCCCCCCCCCCCCCGGTTTTTTTTTTACCCTTCCCTGGACAAGCTGTCCGATTTTTGGCCCATTCAGTCGCCTTTGCCTCCTTTTCGACAAATTTCTCACTTTTAAACCAATTCCAAATTATCCCATTCCATTCAATATTAGTTTTTATTAGTCTACTGCTTAAAAAAATAAAGTCGTGGTTAATCTTCGGGTGCGATCATACCAGCACTACTGTAGCGGATTCCATCAGAATTCCGCAGTGAGAGTGCTTCGGCGGAAGTAGTACTACGATGGGTGAACACCTGGGAAGTCCTTGTGTGGCACCTGTTTTGCCCCTTTTTTTTTCACCTTTCCCCAGACAACCTGTCTGATTTTTAGCCCATTCAATCGCCTTTGCCTCCTTTTCGACAAATTTCTGGCTTTTAAATCATTTCCAGATTATCCTATTCCATTCAATTTCATTTTTTGTCCGTCGACTGCTTAAAACAATAAAGTCGCGGTTAATCTTAGGGTGCGATCATACCAGCACTAATGCACCGGATCCCATCAGAACACCGCAGTAAAGCGTGTTTGAACAAGAGTAGTACTAGGATGGGTGACCCCTTGAGAAGTCCTCGTGTTGCTACCCTTTTGCCCCAAATTTTTTTTTCATCCTCTCCCGTTCAACCTGTCTGAATTTTAGCCCATTCAATCACCTTTGCCACCTTTTTGAAAAATTTCTTGGTTTTAAACCATTTCCAGATTAGCCTATTACATTCAATTTCATTTTTTGTCCGTCTACTGCTTAAAACAATAAAGTTGCGTTTAATCTTCGGGTGCGATAATACCAGCACTAATGCCCCGGATCCCATCAGAACACAGCAGTTAGGCGTGCTTGGGCGAGAGTAGTGCTAGGATGGTTGACCCCCCAGGAAGTCCTCATGTTGCATCCCTTTTACCGCTTTTTTTTTTCTTTTTTTTCACCCTTCCCTGGGCAAGCCGTGCAATTTTTAGCCCATTAAATTGCCTTTGCCTCCTTTTCGACAAATTTCTCGATTTTAAATGATTTGCAGATTATACTATTCCATTCAATTTCATTTTTTGTCCGTCTACTGCTTCAAACAATAAAGTCGCGATTAGCCTTCGGGTGCGATCATACCAGCACTGATGCACCGGATCCCATAAGAACTCCGTAGTTAAGCGTGCTTCGGAAATAGTAGTTCTAGTATGGGTGACCCCCTGGGAAGTCTTCCTGTTGCTCCCCTTTTGCCCCCTTTTTTTTATTTTTATTTTATTTTTTACCCTTCCCCAGACAACCTGTGCGATTTTTAATCCATTCAATCGTCTCCGCCTCATTTTCGACATATTTCACGCTTTTAAACAATTTCCAGATTATCCTATTCCGTTCAATTTCATTTTTTGTCTGTCGACTGCTTAAAACAATAAATTCGTGGTTAAGCTTCGGGTGTGTTCATACCAGCACTAATGCACTGGATCCCCTCAGAACTCCGCAGTTAGGCGTACTTGCGCAAGAGTAAACTAGCATGGGTGACCCCTTGGCAAGTCCTCGTGTTGCACACCTTTTGCCCGTTTTTTTTTTCACCATTCCCCAACACAGCCTGTCCGATTTTTAGCCCCTTCAATCGCCTTCGCCTCCTTTTTGACCAATTTCTCACTTTGAAACCATTTTCACATTATACCATTCCATTCATTTTCATTTTTAGTCTGTCTATTGCTTATAACAATAAAGTCGAGGTTAAACTTCGGGTGCGATCATACCCGCACTAATGCACCGGGTCCCATAAGAAGTCCGCAGTTAAGCGTGCTAGGGTGAGAGTAGTACTAGGATTGGTGACCACCTGGGAAGTCCTCGTGTTGCAACCCTTTTGCCATATTTTTTTTATTTTTTTTATTTTTCGCCCTTCCCCGGACAACCTGTTCGATTTTTAGCCCATTCATTCGCCTTCGCCTCCTTTTCGACAAATATCTTGGTTTTGAACCATTTCAAGGTTATCGTATTACATTCAATTTCATTTTTTGTCCGTCCACTGCTTATGACAATAAGGTCGTGGTTAATCTTCGGGTGCGATCGTACCAGCACTAATGCACCGGATCCCATCAGAACACCGCAGTTAAGCGTGCTTGGGCGAGAGTAGTGCTAGGATGGTTGACCCGCTGGGAAGTCCTCGTGTTGCACACCTTCACCCTTTTTTTTCTTCTCTGTTTTTTTTTTCACCATTCCCCAGACAACCTATCTGATTTTTAACCCCTTCAATCGTCTTCGCCTCCTTTTTGATAAATTTCTAGCTTTGAAACCATTTTCAGATTATACTATTCCATTCAATTTCATTTTTAGTCCGTCTACTTCTTATAACAATAATGTCGTGGTTAATCTTCGGGTGCGATCATTCCAACACTAATGCACCGGATCCAATGAGAACTCCGCAGTTAAGCGTGCCAGGGCGAGAGTAGTACTAGGATGGGTGACCCCCTACGAAGTTCTCGTGTTGCAACCCTTTTGTCTCATTTTTTTTTTATTTTTTATTTTTCACCCTTCCCCGGACAACCTGTCCGATTTTTAGCCCATTCAATCGCCTTCGCCTCCTTCTCGACAAATATCTCAGTTTTAAACCATTTCTAGATCATCCTATTACATTCAATTTCATTTTTTGTCCGTCTGTTGCTTAAAACATTAAAGTCGCGATTAATCTTCGGATGCGATTGTACTAGCACTAATGCACCAAATCCCATCAGAACACCGCTGTTAAGCGTGCTTGGGCGAGAGTAGTGCTAAGATGGTTGATCCGCTGAGAAGTCCTCGTGTTGCACACCTTTTGCCCTTTTTGTTATTCTCAGTTTTTTTTTCACCCTTCCCCAGACAAACTGTCTGATTTTTAGCTCATTCAATCGCCTTCACCTCCTTTTCGACAAACTTCTCTTTTTTAAACCATTTTCAAATTATCATATTCCATTTAATTTCATTTTTTGTCCGTCTACTACTTATAACAATAAAGTCGTGGTTAGTCTTCGGGTGCGATCATGCCAGGACTAATGCACCGGTTTCCATCAGAACTCCGCAGTTATTCGTGCTTGGGCAAGAGTAGTACTAGGATGGGTGACCCCCTGGGAAGTCTTTGTGTTGAACCCCTGTAGACACCCCATTTTTGACTGACCTTAAGACTCAGACATCACCAGTTGAGCACTCGGTGATATTGCATGTTGTGCTTGTTCAGAGGCCTCAGAGTCGCCGCTGCGAGCCCCGCCTCCGGACTTCTGGACCTTCTTCGGTGCCTTGCCTCGGTTTGCGAACCAGACTTGGTTTTCTCTGTTTCTTTTCCTGAGGGGAGGGAGAGGTCCCATAGACCATCTCTCAGTGGCCGTGGGCTACATTTGGTGGCCGTAGGCCATTTTGCCCATTTCGGAGCCCGGTTCCCGGTTTTCGGAGCCGTCAGGCCGTGTGCCTCGGTTCAGGACCGCCTAACCATCTCCGTTTGCTCTGATTTTTGGCATACATCTTATTTTCTCCCTTTTGAGGGACACTGGGGTCTGAGAAACCCACTTCGTGGCCGAACGCCACTTTCGGTGTTTAACGGGCAGTTTCCGGGGCCCCGAACTGCGTGTTTTGGCCCCCGAACATTCGTTTTGCATCGGTTTTCGTTCATTTTTGGCAGGTACCTCTGTTTTATCACCAGGAAGGTTATTGAAGGGTGGGAGGCTAGTAATTGTTGCAGCAACCAGTTATCTCTCCTCCGGAGCCTCCCGGCGCCCGTTTTTCTGACTTCCGGGCCAATGTTGAACACCCTGGGGTTAGTGTTGCCAACTTTCGACCACATATTTGTGATCTACACACCTGGGAGGACCCTAAAAACCCATGGCCGGCCACTAATTGTTCTTTCCATTTTTGCCCCTCCTCTTTGAGGCTAATGTTGAACACCCTAGGGTTAGTGTTGCCAACTTTCGACCACATATTTGTGATCTACACACTTGGGAGGACCCTAAAAACCCATGGCCGGCCACTAATTGTTCTTTCCATTTTTGCCCCTCCTCTTTGAGGCTAATGGTGAACACCCTAGGGTTAGTGTTGCCAACTTTCGACCACATACCTGTGATCTACACACCTTGGAGAACCCAAAAAAGTCATGGCCGGCCACTAATTGTTCAGGCTAATTTTTTCACTTGGGCGACCGGCTAGGGGGGGTGGCCGGCTGGCCACCTGCAGCAAAAGTACCTGGCCGGCCTGCTTCCTCACTGTGTGCACTTTACAGCTGTGTAGCCCTTTCCCCCAGATAATATCTGTATCCGGGGGATATTTTGTGGGGAAAGCTTGCCTCCTTTATGCCCCACCTTTACACCCTCCTTTTGGTCCATATAACCAGCTGCCAACATGCATTATAGGGGTTAGAAAAATTCTCCTTTAAGCCTCCTTACACAACTCCATCTTCATCCTTCTCATTTCTTGAAAAAACCCTAAGTCCCTAACCATCATTTCTTCTACACCACCAAGCTCTACCACCACCACTTCATTTCCAGCAGCAAGGAGGGCTTCTCAAAGGCTAAAGGAGCTGCAAATTGGTCCAAGAAGCAACAAAAGACTTGTCTCCAAAGGTGAGTTGCCATTTTCTCTTTTTTGAGCTTTTCTTTGCAATATTTCTTAGCCTCTCCTTCTTATACATTTGAGCTCCGCCAAAAACTGAAAGTGACCCTCTTTTGAGCTCATCTTCACTTTTCATTAAGGGCTCAACCCTGTTTGATCCCTCCATGATGCACTTGCTTCATTAATCCTCTTATATGTCATAATCTTGCATGCTATTTTTGGCCCATGATTAATCTGTTTTTGAGCATGATGTAATCTGTGAATGTGCTTATTTTGGGCCCTTCTTCAACATTGTTGAAGGGCCCCTCACCATTTGGTGCCTCCATATGTCACTTGTAGTTATATCCCTTATTTGGCTCCATTTTTGCATAAATTGGTAGCCCCCTTTGCTTCTGTTTTTGGCTTTTTCACAGAACTGAAAGTGGCCTTATTTTGGCCTATAATTCATGTTTCATTAATACGTTTTTTCTTTTTGGCGATTATTTTGTATACTTCATGTTATAGCACCTTTTGAGCCTCAATCTTGTGCCTTTTTTTAGCATGTTTGTATACTGATTTTGAGGCTGCCATAAACTGTAAATATTCATATTTTTGGTCCCTTTTCAATGTTTTAGAAGGAAAGTTTTCAGTTTGGATTTTACTTATATCACTTGCTTCATTACCCCTCTTTTGGCCCCTATTCTTGCATGCTATTTTTGCCATACCTATGCTTTCTGTTTGGCCATGTTTATAACTGTGAAAGTGCATCTTTTGGGACTGTCTAGCTTCTGTCTTTGCATTGCATGTCCATATTGTGCATGTTTGGCATAGCTATAGGACATTTCGGGTGCCTAATGTTGCATTTCGGGACAATTTCATGCATTTGGTGTCATTTCGCTTCATTTCGGGACTTTTTTCCCCCATATTTTACTGCTGAAATTCCATTAGAATGATTGCTGTCATTTCCATGTCATTTCATCATAATTTGTCATCGCCTCGGTTTGCGTGCCCGCGTGCACGTATTTCGAGACACACATCATCGCCTCAGTTTGCGTGCCCGCGTGCACGTATTTCGAGACACACATCATCGCCTCAGTTTGCGTGCCCGCGTGCACGTATTTCGAGACACACATCATCGCCTCAGTTTGCGTGCCCGCGTGCACGTATTTCGAGACACACATCATCGCCTCAGTTTGCGTGCCCGCGTGCACGTATTTCGAGACACACATCATCGCCTCAGTTTGCGTGCCCGCGTGCACGTATTTCGAGACACACATCATCGCCTCAGTTTGCGTGCCCGCGTGCACGTATTTCGAGACACACATCATCGCCTCAGTTTGCGTGCCCGCGTGCACGTATTTCGAGACACACATCATCGCCTCAGTTTGCGTGCCCGCGTGCACGTATTTCGAGACACACATCATCGCCTCAGTTTGCGTGCCCGCGTGCACGTATTTCGAGACACACATCATCGCCTCAGTTTGCGTGCCCGCGTGCACGTATTTCGAGACACACATCATCGCCTCAGTTTGCGTGCCCGCGTGCACGTATTTCGAGACACACATCATCGCCTCAGTTTGCGTGCCCGCGTGCACGTATTTCGAGACACACATCATCGCCTCAGTTTGCGTGCCCGCGTGCACGTATTTCGAGACACACATCATCGCCTCAGTTTGCGTGCCCGCGTGCACGTATTTCGAGACACACATCATCGCCTCAGTTTGCGTGCCCGCGTGCACGTATTTCGAGACACACATCATCGCCTCAGTTTGCGTGCCCGCGTGCACGTATTTCGAGACACACATCATCGCCTCAGTTTGCGTGCCCGCGTGCACGTATTTCGAGACACACATCATCGCCTCAGTTTGCGTGCCCGCGTGCACGTATTTCGAGACACACATCATCGCCTCAGTTTGCGTGCCCGCGTGCACGTATTTCGAGACACACATCATCGCCTCAGTTTGCGTGCCCGCGTGCACGTATTTCGAGACACACATCATCGCCTCAGTTTGCGTGCCCGCGTGCACGTATTTCGAGACACACATCATCGCCTCAGTTTGCGTGCCCGCGTGCACGTATTTCGAGACACACATCATCGCCTCAGTTTGCGTGCCCGCGTGCACGTATTTCGAGACACACATCATCGCCTCAGTTTGCGTGCCCGCGTGCACGTATTTCGAGACACACATCATCGCCTCAGTTTGCGTGCCCGCGTGCACGTATTTCGAGACACACATCATCGCCTCAGTTTGCGTGCCCGCGTGCACGTATTTCGAGACACATATCATCGCCTCGGAGAGAGATCGACTTCTTTTCGACAAATTTGTCATTTTTATACCATTTTCTAGATTATCCTCTCCCATTCAGGTTCATTTTTATACCATTTCTAGATTATCCTCTCCCATTCAGGTTTCTCTCAGTGGCCGTAGGCCATTTTGCCCATTTCGGAGCCCGGTTCCCGGTTTTCGGAGCCGTCAGGCCGTGTGCCTCGGTTCGGGACCGCCTAACCATCTCCATTTGCTCTGATTTTTTGGCATACATCTTATTTTCTCCCTTTTGAGGGACACTGGGGTCTGAGAAACCCACTTCGTGGCCGAACGCCACTTTCGGTGTTTAACGGGCAGTTTCTGGGCCCCGAACTGCGTGTTTTGGCCCCGAACATTCGTTTTGCATCGGTTTTCGTTCATTTTTGGCAGGTACCTCTGTTTTATCACCAGGAAGGTTATTGAAGGGTGGGAGGCTAGTAATTGTTGCAGCAACCAGTTATCTCTCCTCCGGAGCCTCCCGGCGCCCGTTTTTCTGACTTCCGGGCCAATGTTGAACACCCTGGGGTCAGTGTTGCCAACTTTCCGACCACATATTTGGATCTACACACCTGGGAGGACCCTAAAAAACCCATGGCCGGCCACTAATTGTTCTTTCCATTTTTGCCCCTCCTCTTTG